CAGGCCCGGGCGAGCAAAGATTTCATCGCCGCTGCCGGACTTTACAAGTGTAAGGTCTGCCTGGACACAGCTCCAGTGCCCAGGCACCATCCTGTCGCAGGTGATAGCGTGTTTCCAAAGGAATTCAACCATACGATAGGAATGGATGCGCTAGAGGTCAAGGACTTCTTCGGAAATCGCTATACTGCTGTCAATATAGTTGACATGGGAACCAGTTTCCAGCAAGTTGTGCTCGTGAAATCTGGGGGTGGTAACCCAAGTGCCCGCCAGTGTGTGAAATGCCTGATTGACAGGTGGATCAGCTGGGCTGGACATCCCAAGGTCATAACCACTGACAGAGGGACGCACTTCAGGGGAGAATTTTCAGAGTATTTGGCACAGCATGGTATAATCCATAAGAACGCCCCTCTCGAGAGTCCGCAGACTATTGGAAAGGTCGAACGCCATGGTGGACTTGCTAAGGCCATCATTAGAAAAGTCGCGCAGGAGACTCAGCCCTCGAATATCGAGGAGATGGAGGCGGTCGTTACCGAGAGTGTTACTACTAAGAACGAGCTTAGTAGGCACCAAGGGTTTAGTCCAGCACAACACGTGTTGGGAAAGCAGCCTCGAACACCGGGTTCCGTGCTAGATGAATCCGAAAGTCTTGGTACATTGTTCACCAAGTATGATGAGACGAGTGTATACTACATTCGGCACAGAGCACGGCAGGAAGCCAAAAAGGCCTTTGTTCATTTAGAGACTTCCCGCAAGGTGGCCAAAGCGTTACAGCGTAATGCAGCCCCTCTAGACACTGATTATAAGGTTGGTGATTTAGTTATCTACCGTCGGGACAACGTCCCTGGCAGCCCAGGAGTCGTATGGTCCACGGTTAGCCGCGTCATAGGACGTGAGGCAGAGAATGCGTACTGGGTATTACACGAGAATATCCCTGTACTTGTGAACGCTAGGAAGATGCGCCCAGCTGATGAAATCGAAGTTGCAGCGCACCGCGTTTTGGCAGGTGAACCAGTGCTTCCGGAAGCCATCGTACATGGGCCGGAACAAAGGTTCCAGGATGAGCGCGTAGCGGATCCGGTCACAGCACCAGCGACGCCACGTCCAGTGGCTGCAGCTGCCCCGCTTACACCGGCAGTCGCGCACGATGTGCCTATGCCAGCACCATCGACGCCAGCGATGATGCCCGGCACACCGATGCCAGCGCCATCTACCCCTGCAAGGTTTCGCGCCAAAGATAAGACGGGCGAAACCGCCCGGTCGCGATCGCCAGTAGGAGGCCGTGATGACGCACTAGTTGCAGAAGAGCTTGATCAAGTAGAGATCATGGCAAAAGGCCTGATAGATGCTCAGGGTTTTTCCCCAGATGAGTGTCTGGCCCTCCTTCGCGCTTATGACCGCGACCGACGCGAGGCGTACACGCGCCCGCTCCTAGATGACGGAGATCCCGGGAGCATAGCCCTCGCGGTGGGAGTATATCGGCACGGTGGTCTTGTTGGTGTCTCTGGACCAACGCGCGAGAGACCGTCGTTCGCCATGTACCTCAATCACTACCTCCTGCATCACAGTATGCAAGCCGGTCACCATCTTCCACAGTGGAGTAGCGTTCAGCTTACCAACAGAGGCGCAGAGGCCCATAGAGACCTAGCGAACACTCCTGGCTCGTATAACTACACTATAGGTGTGGGCGAGTATCGTGGAGGCGGCCTATGGGTGGAAGAAGCCACGGGTACAACTCCCGTGCGTATTCAAAACACGACAATGTATGGCACCGTCCATGATACTAAGAACAAGGTTCTTAAGTTTCGCCCGAAGGACGTGCACATGGTCGCACCGTTTGTAGGAGAAAGATACAGTCTCTCCGCATACACGGTGAGTGACCTCGGTAAGTTGTCTAAAGATGACATACAGCTTTTGTCGGATCTAGGCTACCCCATATATAGGGATGCGCCCAACACCTTTGGCAGGAAAGGCGATGGGATATACACCATGGGTCACTCTGATCTTCCCATCGAGACGTTCCTAGAGCGCATCCACGAGTACGGGATTAAGGAAATCGTAGATTGCAGAAGCCACCCGTACAGCGTTCGGCATCCACAATACAATTGTGATGAGCTTTCTGCCACATGCTTTGCAAAAGGGGTTGTGTACAGTCACGCCCCCGAGTTAGGCAACAGGAATCGGGGCGGGATTGAAGCCAACCTGCAAACAGACCAAGGGCTCTGTACGATCGCTAGAATAGTTAGCGAGGCTCACGATGACTTTCACCGAATACTTCTGTTGTGTTCGGAGGCCAGTTGGCGGCGATGCCATCGGCGAAATATCGCCCAGCACATATGGCTCGAGCATTCGAAACTTGCGGAGCACATACGTGCTAACGGACTGCCAGAAGCCCATCCGTGTCACTACATTCCTGAGGAAGACGACGGACTGGCAGCAGCATCGCACACAGCTGCGATTGGCACGACAGTGCCAGCAGTTGAGCCCTCGGATAGTCGAGAGGCGGAATCCAAGGCCTTTGCTCTCACCCCTGATGGGGAAGACGCCTTCGGCTCTAATGTCGATGTTGGCTACATGGCCTCGCTCCTGGATTACCATAAGGCCCCTGTAGAGGTACAGCTGGGGCTGGATGCTGCCATGAAGACTGAATGGCAGAAGTACACTGAATTCAACGCAGTGGTCCCTTGCACAGACAAGGAGTTTAAGGAGCTTACAAAGGCTGGCCACGTGTGTATCCCCACCAAATGGGTTCTTACCGATAAGAATGAACACCTAAAGGGGACAGCAGCATACACTCCCAAGTGGAAAGCACGCTTGGTCGCATGTGGAAACTTCGAGCATATCTCGAATGAGGAGGATATCAGGGCAGACAGCCCCACGGCCGAGCCGGAAGGTATAGCCCTTCTGTGTTCATGGGCGGTTTCGTTGGCCCTGCGGCTCAAAGCAGCCGATATAACGAACGCATACTTCCAAGGGAAACCCCTTGAGCGACTCCTCATTCTTCGGGTTCCCAAACACCCTAAGGGTGTGCCCGATGCAGAGATTCAGCGAGCCGGGTATATGATTGCCCGAGTACCCGTGTACGGCACCACCGACGCGGGTCGGAACCTTTACCTCCGTATAAAGGAGAGTTGCCGAGAATTTGGCTTAAATGTCTCGCAAATTCTGTCAGCCCTGTACTATATTACAGGAGAAGGTGGTCGTTTGTGCGCTTGCTTGTGCACCCACGTGGATGATTTCCTGTGGGCTGCTACCGCCGAAGGCGAGCCGGCTATCCAGAATCTGCTGGATAAGTTTAAGATCGGTCGCATAGAGACTGAGAAGTTCCGTTTCTGCGGACGCGAGTATGTGCAAAGCGCCGATGGGACCATCAGTATAAACTGTAGGGACAACACGCGTGCAATTCGCCCGATCGATATACATAAATCTGAAAAGGGCACGACTCCAGTCTCGAATGGCCAGCGCACAGCGCTGAGATCCGTCATAGGATCGCTGGCTTGGGTGGCCCGCGCCACGAGACCTGATCTTGCCTATAGGGTGAATGCCCTGCAGCAGCGTGTTACGACAGCCACGGTGGATACGCTCCGTGAAGCAAACCGCGTAGTAGCACTGGCGTTAGGAGATGCGGATAGGCCGATCACGTACAGCGCTAAGTTACCCTGGAATACAGGGGAGCTGGCGGTCGTCACGTTTTGCGACGCCTCCTTTGCAGGAGAGGCGAACCATAAGTCGCAGAGAGGCCGTTTCCACTATCTCACTTCCGCACAGTCGGCGGTGGACAAGAACGCGCCAACGCATGAGATGCACCTCATTTCGTTCTCCTCGTCCACCATGAAACGGGTTTGTCGCGCCACACTGCAGTGTGAGGCTTACTCGTTGCAACATGCCATAGAGCATGGAGACCGCATTCGAGCAGCAGTACTCGAAGTACTCGGCAAACTGCCCCGGTCACAGAACTGGGAAGAAGTCGCCAAGAGATCGATGTTCCACCTGCAGTATACGGACTGCAGGTCCCTTTCGGATCACTTGACAGCGTCGATTCCAAAGTCCTGCGAGGATAAACGCCTTGCCATAGAGATGTCCGGACTTCGCCAGGGACTCTGGGAAGAGGACGAGCTAACGCACGTCCTGTACCATCCCTGTGGCGATGAGTTGAGATGGATACCGACGCATTTACAACTTGCGGATTGCCTCACTAAGAGTATGAAACCGCTTTTGATCAATCACAGCATTGACCGCAACCTCGTACAGGTACTCGATGTGCCCGCGCAAGACGCACAGAATACCGAGAGTACCGAAAGCACTCCGCTTCGCGATTGAGGAACTCAGCCTAGAGCCTTGAGTCGCCGCACTCGGCTCGGTTGACTGCGCAAGCTCCCGGTATAATCCGGTGAAGTAGGTTTGATCCAAAGCGATCAAATTCGAGCATGATTCGGACGTCACACTACAGATAAGACGGGTGTGAAATTTCCCTGTCTTGAAGCGCCGTGTTGACATGTCCTCATGCGAGCGTAGTTTTTGTGTTAGTTCTGAACGTACCCTGTATGACAGACGTCTTGGGCTCAGACCAAAAAGTGTGCTCGTTTGTGTGGTTGGACACTCACTAATCCAGTTCCTGCTTCAAACCTATGAACTATGAACTCCAACAAACACGATGCGGAAACCTTGTCGAGTCTAAGTACGAAGGTCCATATACTCACACTCAGGGGATTTGGGAGCTTTTTCGAGTCTCGGGTACATTGTGGTGTTCAGGAGTGTGAAGGGGGAGGGACCCTGTGTAGACCAGGGTTTCGGTGGTGTCTTCGGGTTGGGTTGATATGAATACTACATAGGCTCGGGTTTTCATTTGGTTTCCCAGGGATTGAAAGGGTCTTTCGAGAGCAGGAATCAAAGGATTTTGTGATTGTAGCTGCAAGGAAGGTCGTATCGTTACACTAAAATTTACTGCCCACTAACCCTAAACCAATGCACCTGCAAGTAGCCTGAAGCTACCGAAGCAGCAGGACGGCGGAGTGGGTCCGGAACATCAACCACTTTCTGTACAGGCGTACCTACCGTGATCCGCAGTTTCCAAACCCTGAATTACAATATAGGTGCTGGCACTTTCGGCCCCCTAAGGTATAAACCTCTATCCCTAAACCGAACCGTCGGGCTAAGGAATAGAATTACCATGGTACCTGGACCCTAAGGGATCCACTTCCCATGTTGCAGTAGTTCTGATTTTCATTCCACGGTTTAGGGTTTCGGGTTTATTGCACCACGGACTTTTTTGTTTTTAGTTACACCAAAGAGCAACGATTGCCGCTGCTGCTGATACTGTTCGTCTTTTGTTACCAGCCCTAAGGCTCCATGTACCCATATATTACATACTTAGGCCTTAAAGTAGCTGTATAGGGGCCCCTTGACGGCTCAAGTATCTACTATAAAGATACATGGAGCATTTGGGCAATACTGTAGCTTCGGTTGCTCGTGTTGGCCCAGTCGAGGATCTGAAACTGAACCATTGTAAGGGTTCTACCCTCTAATTGAGGGGTCGTAACCTACTATTTTGTAGGGTTTGGGGCCCTAAACCCTAAACCCTAAACCCTAAACCCTACAGAGGGTCGAAGTACCCAAAGGCTCGGGTTTTAGGTCCCAAAACCGAAGCTCCGAATGGTTTTTGGATCTTGAAACCCTCTTCGTCACTCTCAACGCTAGACCCTAGACAAGCCTAAATCCAAAGAGCCCGTGCATCCTAAGCGAAGTGCTATGGAAGTTATGGCCTATGAGGATAGTGGCTCTGCTCAGTTTAATCTTTCGAAGCTCTCTAGGATGCCCAGTTATTACTTGGAGGGTCGGGGGTCTTAGTAACTGGTTATTTTAGGTACTTATAAGTACCGTGACCCCAATTAGGGTCCCTTTTAGGGTACTTATAAGTCTACTTACTACCTACTTACTAAGTCCCCCGACCCTCCAAGTAGTACCCGTATTCCCTTTTAGTAGTCCTAGGTTTCCTACAAACTTACCCAATACCCTTGCTGGGTTATTCCAAGGTTACTGGGCATCCTAGTCCGTACCTAAACCCTAAACCCAAAACCCTAATCCCTAAACCTTGAACCCTAAACCCTAATCCCTAAACCCTCAACCCTAAACCCTCATCCCTAAACCCTAATCCCTAAAGCCTAAACCCTAATCCCTAAACCCTCAACCCTAAACCCTCATCCCTAAACCCTAATCCCTAAAGCCTAAACCCTAATCCCAAAACCCTAATCCCTAAAGCCTAAACCCTAATCCCTAAAGCCTAAACCCTAATCCCTAAAGCCTAAACCCTAATCCCTAAAGCCTAAACCCTAATCCCTAAAGCCTAAACCCTAATCCCTAAACCCTAAGACGCCCGGAACCTTCAACCTGAAACCCGATACCCCGAACTTTTTAAACCTTCGAACTTCTTCTCCTCACTCCGACACCGTTCAAAAGCCTGAATCCTCCTTAGCCGTAATTAATTCTCAAAAACTTATACACCTGCATACATACATACATACATACATACATATATATATATATACATATGTGCAGCGGCTTTCTGTTTCGTATTAGTTACGATTTACCAGATGTCTCTATCGAAACCCCACGATAGTTGAAATCCTTTCCAAACTTTGTACGGCACATGAAAAAGACTCAGCCATAGCAAACCTGCAAACAATGCACCGCTACTGTCATCAAGCACACGAAGCTCATAAAGCCCCAACGTCAAATACCAATACCTGAAGCGTAAAATCGCCTAGTAGTAGAGTAGTTACCCTTTTGCCTTTTTGGGGTACTATATATAACCCCTATGTAATCCCACTTTACTCCCAAAGGTTAGCCTTTTCTTCCCCAGGAGACTAGACAAGTAGGCTCCGAAATACCAGTTAGCAACCGAATATTTACCCCATGAGCCTGACCCTAAACCCTAAACCCCTAAACCCCTAAACCCTAAACCCCTAAACCTTAAACCCTAAACCCCTAAACCCTAAACCCCTAAACCTTACACCCTAAAAGCCCCTTGAGTACGAAGCCACAAAAAATCCCGTGGGAGGAAGTTTAAAGTTGGTAACTTCCTGATCCTGGGTCCACGCCTCAGCGAGAGACGACTCGAATGGGGCGCTTAGCGTTTAATATAGGGGCCTAAATAATTACCAATACTATTTTGTGGGGGGGTTCCTGATCGTATGTATAGTATAATGGTCCGCAAAACCAAATTCTAATGATTAAGGACCCTATATTAGCGTTTAGGGTTCAGGGTTTAGGGTTCATGCTCGTTGCAACGATTCTTTTCTCTGACTGGCATCATCAATGTTGTTGCTATCTCCATTGCCCTTTTATGAGGGATTGTTTTGTGGTTGTCCTTTATCGCTTTTGTTGTTTCGCATTTTCATATATCCCCTGTGTTTTGATTGCAGGGTTTGGGGATCTACCTGTGGATCGGAAAACCTATTGTTTTCAGGGTTCGACCCTAGAATCAGGGGTCAAAGCCCATCATGTTGCAGGGTTTTTGAGCTACGGGTTCAAATCTGGTAACTATACGTTTTATAAGAGTAGTTAGTAAGCCCCATATATGAACCTTCAAGTAGAAGCTGTTGGCCCTGGAGTTTAGGATGTCAGGTTTCGGAGCATCGTAACTTGTCACTAACCTACGTTTTGTAGAGTCCAACTGAAGTCCATACTACCTAGAGGCTCATACCCTACCCCTTTTTCAGGGTATCTACTTTTCTATATAACAGATCCTAACCGTAAAAGTACCCCTAGCAAAGGGTCAAATCCAGAGCCCTTGTTAGATATCGTTGGAAACCCGCGGAGCTCTTGCAATGGCATCCCCTCATACCTCATAGCCTTATATCTATATCTATATCTATATCTGTAACCATCTATCTATATTCATATACAGATGCACGCACACATACGTACATGTATGTTTACACACACACACATATATATATATATAGATATGTTGATTTATTTATGTGTATATATATATATATTTACATATTCGATGCCATGGCGCCCCATAGCCCTCGCAAATAAGGCCCTGTAAGACTGCTCACCGTTCAGCCACAGGCCTTTTCGGCATCCCTGTGACTCCGCTGCTCCCGAGCCCCTTCTTCCATCCAGCAGCTGGTCTTATTAGAGTTTGGGGCTTCCGAGCACCCCGCAACTACCCTCTACTATACCCTCAATACCCACTATTAAGGAGCATAAGGGCTCTATGAGACTAAGCCCTAAACCGTAAACTCGGAAACTCCCATATAGGGTTTTGGGCCGATTGTAGGCTCTTGGGGTTTAGGGCTTAGTGCTTAGGGTTGTGGGTCAGGTTTTGTTGTTGGTATGACATGTGTTTGCTGTCTCTATGTAGGGCTTAATGATGTGCTTACACTGTTTGTTTGTGTTGCATGGGTTTTATAAGATAGTGAAGCGCCTTTTGTTGGAGTGGGTGTCTAAAGGGTTTATACTATACGGTTTTATAGAGCTTCGACACGGTTTAACAGGGTTTCCGCTGCATATCATATCCCTAAGCCCTAGACCCCGAACTTGCTCAAGGTTGTTGTTGGTGTTGGGTACCTAGAGGCTCATGCCGCTCATGCCCTACCCCTTTTGAGGGCATCTACTATTCTGTATTGGCCTCAAAGGGGTGGGGTATGAGCCTCCAGGTAGAGCGTCGAAGACTTGGGCCAAGCACGGTCTGGGATTGTTAGAGCCTGGGCTTTTGGTGCTTGACGGGTTCAGGGTGCTGAGGGTTCGACGGTGGGGTGGGTTGAACCCGAAGCCCCACTACTAAGCACTAATCCCTAAACCCTAGGTTTAAGGTTTCGAATGGTCTCATTGAGGCGCTACGGAACCGAAACCCTCAACTCAAAACCCCCGAGCCGTAAAACAGACCAGCCTAAAAGCCAATTTCAAGCCCTCACGCCAAAAACCGCAACGCAGGCCCCTGATTGCTAAAGACTGTCCGTAGATGCTACGACCCCTGTTGCATCAGGCTTGGGTTTCTCTGCATTAAAAGCAGCCTCTAGTTCGCCTACAAGCCCACTAACATTAATAGGGTTTAGGGTTTGGGATTCTTTGCTGAAGACACCGTAAATCCCGTACAACCCTATGAAAAAGCGCATAAGTCCTTTTGCAACACGAAAACTTACCTGACCCTTGATGCAACCATATGAAGCTTTTGCTTGCTTTTCTGGCTGCCGAGGTCTTCCGCACACGGCTTCACATTGAGTTCGGCAGCTCTTCAGCAGATAGCCGGTTAGGGTTCTTTCTGCGAACGGCTCCCTTCGAGGGTTCAGGCTTTAGGGTTGAGGGTTCGGGGTCTAGGGTTTAGGGTTTAGGGTGGTTGAGGGTTTGGGCTTCCTGTAGGTTCATGTGACTGAGTATGTAAGTATAGCTATAGGCATATACGTAACTAGGGTCGTGTTTAAGTATAAGTACAGCTACCGTGCTTGTAATTGAAACGCTGCGCGTCGTCCGCCTCGGCCCGGCTGTACGCGCATGCGGCGAGTGGCTACTATCTGCAGCAAGCTCTTGTAGGAAAAAAGTAACAGTTGGAATCGCACTTATAGTAAAAGGAATGTTCATAGCAACACGAAGCAGGATGATTGTGAGTAGTACTAGTAGTGGTAGTATCAGTACGAATTTTGGTGTCGTCATTCCGAAACACTGGATACCAAGACTCTCGCAACGAGTAGGAACCTCTGACCGCTTCGGCCGGGGCCGAGGCGAATAACACTATACAGTTACTAAGTCCAATGAACCTCTAAGTGGTAAGCTTTATAAACCCTAAGCCCGAATCCCTATATGAAAGCCTAAACCCAGTTACAGGTAAACCTCACCTGGAACTACCATTATCTACATGTGTGTAGGTTCTTACCGCATATACAGGGACCCTACAAAAGCTTGGCGTTCTTCTGGTTGGCTCTTAGGACTTTTTTTGGTTTCCGTATGAACTATACTAAGGAGTTTAACTTTTGGAGGGGCTCAGAAGTCAGCCAAGAAAAGGTAGGTTTTGGTGGTTATAAGGTGCATCCTACGCCCACCTTGGAGGGAAGGTCCTCTTATACCCAAGCCCCCATGCAAAGTTGAGACCCGACGAACGCACGTCCCCACTGTCGCTTGGAGGCTTCCTTTCAGTATCCTGGTAGGGGGAACCGTAAGGAACCGTCAGGGTTGCTGTAAGTTTTCGAAGTGTTAAGGGTTCGGGCATAGGGATCCTTTTGCCCATCAAGTATATACTTTGACCCAGGTTAGCTTCCATTTCCTGTCAAGGTACGGTTGATGATATAAATCCTGCATGACCCATAATAAGGAATATACCATAATTCCGATAGTTTAGGGTCCTTAAGGTAGTGCAGGATTTCTATCATCAACCGTATGTCGGTTACGTCGTTGCCTGCGGTCTCCGGGTTTTCGACATGTTCCCATCGTGTTTGAGACGATCAAGACCAAACCCTCTACCCGGGCAAGAAAATCATGATCCAAAGCCCAAATTCCAAAACCCTAAACCCCTAAACCCCTAAACCCTAAACCCTGAAAGCTAAACCCCAAACCCACATTCCAAAGCCCCAAACCCCTAAACCCTGAAAGCTAAACCCCAAACCCTTTCCCAGGTCCGCCGGTGGACGTGGGCCCGAAGGAAGCGGAGCCCAGTGATGCGCGGGTGCATGAGGCCCTGGGGTTCAGGGTTTGAGGCTATGCGGTTTGGGGCTTTCAGGGCTTAGGGTTTAGGGTTTAGGGTATAGGGTTTAGGGTTTAGGGTTTCCGAAACCTACTGCTGTAAGGGCTCGACCCTGTTAATCTGGTACTGTGTTTAGTGGGCCCCTCAACCATTTCTCGGCAAGATAAATACCTTGTTACCCGTGAACCCCTTCACCTAGATTTGGCGGGGCTTGGGTTGGCTTGGGGTCTGGATGGGATTAAGTACTTACAAGGGTTCCCTAAACCCAAAACCCTAAAAACCCTTCCACTTAAGAGGGTTTAGTAGGTGTCGGGGGGGGGTCTAGGCGAGATTAAGTGGAAGGGCTTTCGGAGGGCTCGGTGATCTTCGAGGCGTCGTTGCGCCTACAGTAAACTGCATAAAGTTGGAAACCGGATTAAGGCCAAATAGTGCTGGGGCTCCTATAGATTACTCTTAAGGACTGAGGCTGTTGGGTTTCCAACTTTTGGGCTTCTACTGTAGGTGGGCTTAAGTCGAAGGGTTTCAGTACGTTTCGGGACGTAGAACGGTTTAAGAGGGTTCTAGGACCTAGAGTAGGCCCTTATTCCCTTTTTTGGGGTTCAGGTTCCCTTATAAGCCCCTTTAAACCAAAAAGGGCACCCTTTTTATTCCTAGGTTACTCTCGGGTCTAGGGTTCGATAGGGGGCTTAGGAGGGCTGGGTCGGTTTGGTGGGCTTTGCTAGAACCTGGGGATCCGAAAACCTACCGTTTTAAGGGCTCTACCCTCTAATTAAGGGGTCATAACCTATCAAAGGGGAAAAGGAGGGACCCTTGATAAGGACCCCTAGGTATACACCCATAATATAGCCATTATATACCCATTATATAGCCCATTATTGGGTAGGGGTCCCCATTAAGGGTCCCTCCTTTTCCCCTTTGAACCTACTATTTTGTAGGGTTTGGGGTCACAGGGAAGGGTTAAGGAGGACGGGGTTCTGGCGGTTTAGGGTTTAGGGTTCTCTTCAGAGTTCTTACTATATCCTAGATCCCTAATACCTAACTTTTAAACTTTTTGGGTTCTTATAGTTTAGTAGGAATCGGAAAGTTTACCCTTCTACTTCTGTGGCTTATTATTGGGGTAGTAAGATATACGGTTTTGGGGCTTCAGGCTTTGGGGCTTCACGAGTGAGGACTGGAGGGTTGGAATTTAGGGTTTAGGGTTTAGGGTTTAGGGTTTAGGGTTCAGGGTTTAGGGTTTAGGGTTTAGGGTTTATGGAGGGTGCCTTCAGCTTGTCAGCCTGCAGAAAGAAAGGAACAAAAACAAACTCAGAACCTGCCGCACCATAAACAACCCTGAGGGTCCATGTACCCAAATGGTATATATTTTGGCCCCAAAGGACCTATATAGGGACTACCTTAAGGCCAAAGTATATACTATTTGGGTACATGGACCGTTAGGGCAAGCATGATGGATAAGTCCTGGAAAAGGCGCACTATAGAGTGTCAAAGTAAATCGAACGCAGTACCACATTGCTAAGTGTAAGGGGTCATATGGATTCTCCCATTTGGGAGTTTCCGAAAATTAGGGATACCTTATTTTGGGGTCCTTGTATATAAGGGTCCTACTATTTAGGGTGCTACATTAATTAGGGTCTCCTAGACAGCTCTTGACCCCACACTCTAGAGCCTTCAAAGCTTCAAGTTCTAACCCTGAATCTGAAAACCCTTGTCCGATACACTCATACACTCTGGAACCTTCAAGCTGTAATTCCCTGCATCCAAACTATCCAATCCATACAGCTTTATTATAGAACCTCCGAAACCCATCCAAACATTCAGGACCCTTTTCCAAATCATTCTGGGGTTTAGGGTTGGGCTTTAGGTATGGAGTTTAGAGAGGTCCGTGTCAATTTGTTTGAGCTTTAGTTGCTTAAGGCACACAAGCATACCCTAAGACTCCAAATATACAAGTAGCACCTCCCTTGCAGTCTAAAGTCTATAAATGGTGCCAATCGGGGCTATTTCGAGTCGCAGGGGCACACTACAGTAGAAGCCACAAAGTTGGAATATCATTATCGTAACCCCTTTAAAGGTAAATTATAGGGGATCCTACCATTAATCCATATTCCAACTTTCTGGAGTTCCCTTTATTGGGATCTACATCTCGTAAGGATATCGACTCTTTCAAAGCTTTCAACTGCAGAGCTCTGGTACACTCAGAACACGCATGCAGGTCTACACCAAGTACGTGGCAGCGCTACAAGAGATGTTCAAAACCTGCGCGCCCAAGTATCTTCCGAAAGAGGTGCGATGCCAGCACTTCGGATGTAGGGGTCCTAGAAGCCTGCGCCCTTAACCCTAGCCTTCGAGCCAAAACCCTTAGCTGCAGGCTGCAGGGTTCGGCCGACAAGCTCAGGAAACCTGAACCCCCCCCCGGTGGGCGAACCTTCCCAAGATTCTAACAGCTCGCCCAGTTGGCTCTTGTTCCCCTTTCTTGTGGTTTCAGGTCCTGTACTAAACTATACCTAGTGGTTCATAGGACTTAGTAACTGTGGTTATACACAAGGCAACTCTACTTATAATTGGTGATAACCCCAGTTTAGGTGCCTACAGCTGTACTTACTAATTCCCCTGAACCTCCAAGTAGACCCTACACCCTAAACCACCATATATCCCTTATAGAACCGTCTAAGGAACCCCTTGAATCATGGAACCCTTCAAGATACTAAGTTGCCTTACTACGCTATTCAACCCCCCCCCAAAAAAAAAAAAAAAAATCCCTAAACCCGCTTTAAGGAACCACTTTAAGGAACCCTTTAAGTTAACCAAACTGCCTTACTAAACTATACAACCCCCCCCCAAAAAATCCCTAAACCCTAAACCCTAAACCCTAAACCCTAAACCCTAAACCCTAAACCCTAAACCCTAAACCCCAAAAAAAATCCCTAAACCCGCAACCCTAGACCCGCAACCTTCAGCCCGAGGTTCCATAAGGGACCCCTCTATAGATCCCTTCACTTAGGGGTACTTAGAAATAATTGTTAACTTTTGGTTATTATATTAGGGGTATTTAGAAATAATTGTTAACTTTTGGTTATTATATTAGGGGTATTTAGAAATAATTGTTAACTTTTGGTTATTATAATCCCTAGGAAACAGCTATAATTGCTAGGGTTCTAAGTTCAGTATAGCTAAAGGAGCCCTTATAGACTCCCCAAAGAGGTAGCCTCCTTCTTCGGTTTGTTATAAGTCTTACACGCCACACTCCCTTTGCACAGATCACCAATTGTTCTACCCAAATGGGGCCGCCGTAGTGCTCAGAGCCTAATCATAAAGCAAGGCAAAGGCCAAAGTGGGCTTTCCTTTCTAAACTGATGGTTTAGGGTTCACCTTAACCCCAAATAACCTACCGTTTTAGGGACCCAGATAAAGAAATCATTAGAAGGAAAAAGAAAAAAGGTAGGTTCCTTAGGGTCCAGGTAAGGGTTGTGACAAGTTCCTTCTTGGCAAGCTTTGCTTCCTTCCGATTTCCAAAAATCGGCACTCCCCGCGAGCCCCTGACCCCACATATAGGGGCCTGGGAAATTGGAAGTAGTACTTCTTGAGGGTGCCTCACTATAGTTATAGCACACGAACCCCCGCAACCGGTGCTTTACCTTTCTCAAGCTCTTGCATTAACTTTGCATCCCTCCCAAATCCACCACAAGGGGGATTGTCTTAGAACAACTGCTCCCATCGGATCAGACATGATGGCTTCCGTAACCCCCTCCAGGACATATGGAGTTTATACTTTGACCTTACAAAACCTTTACACTTCACATACCCTAAAGGTCCAACAAACCAAATAGCAGGGTTGCAAGATCCGAAAGCCGTTCAGAGTTTGGATTTTTGGGCCTAAAACCCTGCTATTTGGGGTACTTGGGCCATTTGGGATGCATGGCCCTCAGCCCCAGACCCAACACTACTTGGGGGCACTTAGAAATAATCTTTAATTTTCGGTTATTATAATCCCTAAGAAACAGCTAAAATTATGATTTTTGCTAGGGTTCTAAGTTCAGTATAGACTAGTAAAGCCACCTAGGGCAACTTGTGCACGAGGTGGCGGATCGTGGATTGGAAGTCATTCTGCGGGAGAACCCGAAGAAGTCTTCCAAAGAAGACTGAATGCCAAGCTGTCGTCTACAACCCCTAAACCCTGAGAGGGTTGTGCAAACGGAACAAGGAGCCTAAGCATAAGCCACATCCAGGTGTCAGACTAGCCTCACGGTGAGATCCAACCTATATAGCTTCTTTACCTTCGTTTTACTACAGGGTTTATCCCAGGGTACTTACTTATTAGATGTTAACTCAGCGACACTCATTCAGCGTAAGCTCTGAATCTGTAAACTTAAGAGCCTGAATCTTAAACCCTATAGGCCCAGACAGTTTGTAACACACGATATCCTTCGCCGTTTTCGTTTTTGGACTGTCGGGGTATGCTCGACCATTGGTTGCTAATAGCACAGTTTGCCTGCGGAGCGAGACTGTGAGAGAGATGGTTGGATTTTGCGTTTCAAGAGTAATTACATGTACCGAAATACAAGCATGAACCAATGTACAAGTATGCTTTTGTATGAACAATACGTGTATGCGCACTTGTTTGTTGGAACTTCAGTGTAGCAAACTTAGGGGTACTTAGAAATATAGTTTTTAATTTTTGGTTATTATAATCCCTAAGATACAGCCAAAATTATAATTTGTGCCAGGGTTCTAAGTTCAGTATAGTAAAGACCAAACGGTGTCGGAACGGTGTCGGGGTTTGGGGTGCCAGGGTTCAGAAGTTTCGGCAGCCCCTAGCCCTGGACACTACCTAGTAGTTCCTTTTTGGGGTTCATATATAGAGTCCTATAAGGTAGTCCCAAAAAGGAACTACTATGGAGCCTATGGTACCCACCCTATTCCTTTTTGGTAATTGAACGACGGTCAGAAGCTACTACGTACACCACGCAGTTTGGCTTGGGGCCGTGGGCAGGGATCAGAGTGTGAGGGTGTGTAGGAAACCCGCAGGCCCCGAAATCCTAGCAAGCCTGAATCGGTATTTAAGATTGTTTCATTTACCCTAGGCATCTGAGGACTCATATATTAAGGCTTTTGGGCCCAAAGACCTTATTATATAAGGCTTTTGGGCTATTTTGATGCCCAAGGTTAAGGGTTTTATTTAAAATTATTTAGGGTTACTGTCAGGATTTCTCAAAAGGATCTTTGGGATTTAGCGCTCCCTTTTCTTTCAAGAGGTTGCTGCGACGTAGGCATGCGAAGTTCACGTGGATCTTCCGAACGTTGCTGCAGCCTCCATTCTGTTCAGCTGCACTGGCCGAAAACGGCAGCTGTCTCAATCTAAGGGTTTTCAGAAACATAGGGGTGCCTTGTTGTGAGGGGTCCTTAAATCTAGGGTTTTAGGGTTTAGGGTTTACGGGTTCAGGGTTTGTTCCCCGAGTTGCAATTACAAGTCAAGAACTCCCCCGTCTCAAGACACGGGGTCTACCCAGAGGCCCCAAAGTAGTTCCTGTTTGTGATTACCTTATAGGGTTCTATATATATGAGCCCCAAAAAGGAACTACTTTGGGGCCTATGGGCAGGCTTCGGGGTTTGGGATTTAATTTGGCGCCACGGCTGTCCCCTTAGGTTTTGGGGGTTGCAGGGTTAGTGTTTAGGCCTAACCCCAGATTGAGACAAATGGGTACTGGCTCGCTCCGTTTCTTGAGCCAGGCCCAAGAAACTTTGTGGCTTGGAGGTCGCAGTAAACTCCGGCTGATCTCGACAGCTAGGGTGTATAGAGTATAGATATTGACACTTGGAGGATCATGAGACTTAGTAAGTAAGGTTATGACACTGTCGCAATTAGGTTGATACGTATCTGTAAATAAAATATGCGTACCCCATTTGTAACCCTGATGGTTACTAACTAGAGCTCAACATTGTCTAGGCTTTTAGGGCTACGTAGAGGTAGTGGGTACTGATAAGCTGGGATCCTTGAAACCCGTACTAATAGCTGCCTATGAGCCGTACAGTAACGTTTACGTGCAAGCCTGAAATCTCTGCACCCGCATGCTACCTATCGAACGCTCATAACACTCCACAAAACCTTCATAAACACAAGGTGCCTTCAGTCAGATATCTGGCACTGCTGATCTCTCTCTCTCTCTCTCTCGCTCTCTGTCTCTTTCTCTCTCTGAGACTCCTGTTCCCCTGAGAGTCTCCATCCAAAACACAGATAATTACATCGTAGCAGCCCAACACGAAACCCTAAACCCTGTACCCGAACCCTTGAATCCCTCAACTCCCAAGCCAGGCTTTTAGGGTCTCTGTCGCTCTGGGTTTCTGCTTGGAGGTTCATGGACTCTAGTAAGTACGGTTATAAGTACGTTAAGTATGGTCTTTGAATTAGTTATTGGTATAGTTACCTTGCTGATAACCCTAAAGTGGAAGGCCCATGAATTTTTTTAAGTGATAATCGACGATTATAGTTCAGCTCGTAGGTTTGTTCCGGGTGCTGACTAGAACAGGGTTGTTTCTGCTGGTCCCGATCAAGGACATGCGTACCTAATTATATAAGTATATATATATATATGTACATAGATACAGATATAGAAATATATGGTTAAGAATCTTGTTCTTCTGGCTCGCCATCTATGTGTGTATAGAGAACCTGGATATATTCTGACTCTTAACCCTAAACCCTACATGCAGTCCAAGTCCAAGAATGCAGCTTTTTCGGTAGAAGCGCATGCGCATATCGCCGGAAACACCCGTCTCAGGGTCCATAGGTAACTGACTTTTAAAGGGTTCTATGGAGTTTGGCGTACTATATGCGGTTCTATCGGGGTTCTGTTTGGGTTGTGCGGAGCTCTTCGTACTAGAGTAGGTAGACTTTAATTAACTCTTTTGGGGTACTTAACCCATAGAATCCCAACTGCTAAAGGTCCGGTTAACCTTTACTGCACTGCGCAGGTAGGTATAAAGACAAAGGCTTTGACTCAAAAGATGCGAGGCTACGTGGAGGCAGTATTTGAAAAAAGCTTATCGTAAGACCGATAAGAGCCTGGAAAGGAACCCCCGTATAGGTCTTGCCTACACCGCTACTACTTTCAAAGTCCCTTACCCAGAGGGTCCAAGTACCCAAATAGTAGGGTTTTAGATCCCTAAATCCATACTCTGAATGGGTTTTTAACCCTACTATTTGGGCACTTGGACCCTTAGAGCCTTAGGGTTAACGAGGGCCTTGCTCGAGACTTTGCCGGAACGCACTGTTGCCCTGCCAAGCGGCTCGCATCGGTTCCACATGCCAAAATCAAGAGCTCAGGGTTGCGTTTAGGGTTTTTGGCATTATCTACGAGATTCCTACTCCGGTTCATGATACAAGTCCTGCATTACCCATAAATAAGGAATATATCCTAATTCCCATAGTCTAGGGTCCTTGAGGTAATGCAGTGTATATCGTCAACCGTATTGCCCGAGAGGTTCAGGCTCCAGGAGGCTCTTATCAACGGGAAAAAGGAGGGACCCTTAATGGGGACCCCTACCCTATAATGGGGCTATATAATGAGTATATAACAGCTATATTAAGGGTATATACCTAGGGATCCGTATTAAGGGTCCTTCCTTTTACCCTTGGATCTTACTCAAAGCTCTTTCTTAGGATCTGCTGGGTTCTTGTCGGGTTTGAGGGCCGGTATCATCGGTACACAAGCCCCAAGACCTTCCAAAATCCCTTCATTAGGAATATTCCTTAAATCATACTAGGGATCCTACGAGAAAATACGGTACATTCCGTAATTCAGGGATTTTGGAAGGTCTGGGCAAGCCCTTGTCGGCTTTTCTAGCCCCTGCTGCGGTACGTAACTGTGCGTTCTAGGATTGTTAGGGGATCAGGATTTATTGAAGCTACTTGGTCTCTGGTGGTGCATTTGCTTGCAAGTCTCCCTTGCAAATATGGCTAATAACCATGTAGTAGAGGATAAAGTTTAGATAAGAATCGAGGCTGCGCCGACTGATATACTTTCGGACCCTTGGGGCTTGTACTATAGGGGCCCAAGTAATTGCCGATACTGTTTTGGGGGTTCCTTATTACAAGAATAGTGCAATGGGCCCAGAGCCACATTCTAATTTTTCAGGCCCTGACATTATCCTGAAGCCTGAATCTAAGCCTCCCTTAGTCGCGACTGCAGCTCCTGCTCCCGCCAGCCAGGACGACACCAAATTCGTCACAAAGGCCGCTGTACTCGAGTTCGGGGCCGGGTTTGCTACAGGTACCCGTTACAAGCTTAGCCAAACCCTTCCCTGCTGCAAGCTCCTTAGTGATTGCTACAGGGGCCTAAATAATTACCAATTCCATTGTGGGATTTTCTTATAGTTGTAATTAGTATAACATACCCCCAAGCCCCTATTCTAACCATTAAGGCCCCCACATTGCCTCAAGCCCTTAGGCCTCTTTTCAGGGGGTACTTCCCAGGTTCAAGAAGTCGAGGCTGGGCTCTTTCTGGGCGAGAGCGACAGTCGTCTCAACCACTTGTCACCACTCAGCCAACCTGGGGATCCAACCTACCGTTCCATGGGTTTACCTTTTGCCCTTAATAAAGAACTTATGGGGTCAGAACCACCGTTTTTTAGGGTTTGGAGTCACAAGAAGCCGCCCAGTCATCCTTCAGTGCTGGCTTCGGGTTTAGAGTCTGGCGTACTACATTCGAGCCGCATCCCTCCAACCAGCTGTCCCATCCCTAAGCCTTTACAAACCTTAAACCCTAAACCTCTATAGCCCTAAGCCATGATAGTAGTTGTTTCCGTGTTGGTATTTAGGACCCTTTTTTGAAAAGCTCTCTGCCTCAGACGAACGCCACTGGTCGGTAAAGCTCGGCCGGCACAGGCTCGGATGGTTTAGGGTTTTGAGGCTTTGGGGTTTTTGGGGTTTGCGGTTTTGGGGTTTTGGTGCTGAGTTTTTAGGGTCTGGGTTTTTTGGGTTTAAGGGTTTAGGGTGCTCTTTCCCTGAGACTCAACATAGTCCGAAGTAGGTTCGATGCACAGGCTCTAGAGCCCAAGGTAGGTGCTACTTGTATACTGGGAGTCGTAGGGCTTGTCATGACAATATCTTAGTAGCTGAGTGGATACACTTTACACTTTTGGTGATA